TAATGAACTGTTGTTAATGGTAGGAGCCAGACGATGCTTACCATATAGTACCATCTGTGGAATAGCCCCATGTTCAGGGATGTGGAAGAAATGGCAACACCCACTGCTTTCCCTTGTGATTAAAGAAGAGGCCCATTAGGTTGATTCTGCAGATGGCAGAATCCAGGTCAGAGGTATAACAGAAGGTTAGCAAGTAGGGTATATTTAATAAGAGCTTGGAAACCCTGTCTCTCTCCATAAGGGAAAATAGACTGCATTGAGCTTCTTTGAAAGGCATTCATAGAATCATAGAAAATGAGGGCTGGAAGGGACCTCAGGAGGTCACATCTAGTCCGCCTGCCAGCTCAAAGCACGACCAGCCCCAACTAGATCATCCCAGCCAAAGCTTTGTCTAGCCAGGTCTTAAAAACCTCCAAGGATGGAGCCTCTACAACCTCTCTGGGTAACCTGTTCTAGTGCTTTACTAACCTCCTCATGAGAGTTTTTCCTAATATCTAACCCAAACTTCCCCTACTGCAACTTGAGCCCATTGCTCCTTGTTCTGTCATCTGTCACCACTGAGAACAGTCCAGCTCCGTCTTCTTTGTAACCCCCATTCAGGTAGTTGAAGGCTGCTATTAAATCCCTTCTCAGTCTTCTCTTCTCCAGAGTAAATAATCCCAGTTCCATCAGCCTATCTTCATAAATGAAATTGGGCCTAAAAATACAAGGTGTATATTATTAAGAGTCGGGGTAATTAACCACTGGAAAATCTTCCCATGGTCTGTGGTGGATTCTCCAGCACTGGAAATGGTTAAATCAGGATTGAATGTTTATTGCAAAGACATGCCCTAGTTCCACTGGGGATTCATTCAGGACAGTGGGATGGCCTGTGTTGTACAGGAGGTCAGGCTAGGAGGTCATTGTGTCCCTTCTGGCTTTGTAAGCTCGAGCTCTATGAATTCAGTGGCACGGCAACCACAGAAAATCCATCAGAATTTGTCGATGTTATGTAGCACGTTTCCCCAAATTGCTGCACCCAAGGTGGGTAAAGGGTAGAATGGGAAGAATGCCTCTCTTAATAGATGGGCGATCCAAGCCCAAGTGAGCTCGCAGACAACTAAAAGTTATAAGCACCTGACAGCTGTTGGTTGACTTACCTTGTGCACAGCTGATTGGCTGGTGGGAAGGTCACTGCAGATTTGCCATCATAAAAGTGATTCTCAAGTCCTTTTTCTCTTTGGAAATGAGGAAGCTGGCATCCCAGCTCCCTGCAGACAAGATGCGGGGGTGTAGAGGAGGGGAGCTCTGCACTTGGGCTCTAAGGATTCAGTGTCTCCAGAGCCCTCACCACATGCTTCAATGGGCTTCAGCATGCTAGACTTTGATGTCTCTGGAGGACCAGACAGAAAATTAACTTGTTTAATGAAACGTAAGTCATATTGCCTGAGCTACATGCAGATTCTCCATTAGGGAAACCAGGGCTGTCAGAGAATAAACAAGGGAGACAAATTCAGAGGCGAGCACCAAGGGCCTAAGAAAGTTGAGGGAGTTCCCACATAGGCATAATGGGCACTTTTTTCCAGTTTCTCAACGTGAACTGGTATGGGCTGGGATAAAACCCACTGAAGCTGGTAGGTATAAAAAACGCCCTGCCATTCAGCTTAAATGAGGGAGAAGTTAAATGATCCTTTGTTAAACAGTAGCTGAAACAATAGAGGCTACTGTTTAAAACACTGCTCCCATGGAGAGGCTGTCCAGAAGTTACACCATAGAGGCAGTGGGTTTCTTAGGCATGAATATAGCAACTACAGTGCTAGATGTTGCTTGATAGGGCTGTGGGTGTATCCCTGGGGTTGGGAGAAGATACCAGAGAGCAGGAAAGCCACGGACAGAGTTCGAACAAGCAGTGAGAAAGGGGCCTGAGAATGAGAGTGCTTTCCGGCTTAGTGTTGGCTGGAAAAGGAGCTTGGAGCCATGAATAAAACATGCCTGCTCCTTTGATTGCTGTTGTGTTAAGGCAAACAAGATTTGGACATTCTTTGTACATAAAGAGGCCTACATCAAAGAAACACCTGGCTCCCTCACCTCATTTCTCCTCCTAGCTGAAATAGCTTACAAGACCCTGGATTTTTGGCTGACCACTTAGGTCAGAAAGCAGGTGACAGGTTACCACAACTTAAGCTGCTGTCGGATTGCCGTACATAATTAGGGACAGACTGCAACTTCCATGCAATTACCCGCACGCATAGATCTGTTGAAGTCAATGGAATTATCTGCGTGATTAAATGCTCACCCATGTGAATAAAGGATATAACATAGCCACAGCACAGCCCCGAGGTTCCCTTGGATTCACGGGGCCAGTCAGAGATGATGTATAAGATACCCCTTCCCGCTTCTCTGCCCGTCTCACTATCCTTTGAGAGCTGCTTTTGGTTTGCCCCCTCCACCAGTGTCTCCCCAGGCCTCATCTGCTGTTATCTATCAGCTGGCAGACTGCAAGGGGCTTAAGAGGAGATATAGTAAAGAATCCCTGTTTTAGTGGAGTCCTTCTTCCACCTTCTACCAGTTCTTTGGGGCACAAGGCAAGCCAGCTTTGACTTCCACAGACTTCTGTGGAGTGGATACCGGGAGCCCCAAGAAGCCTACCTGAGCACCAGGAAATCTAAGCTAGCCAAAGGGAGTCAGTTCTGAACATGGGCTGCACTACAGAGCAGTGAGGAAGACATCCTGCTGTGACAGCTACAGGACCAAGGAGCACAGAGAGGCACATGCCATTGCAGAGATAAGCTTTTTATTTAGAATTATCTAGGTCTGAGACAGGGCGTGTGAGTCAGCATCAGTTCTGGCCATGGTGAGGCTTACATTTCTTTCTGCACCTTCCAAGACATCTCTCCCTGTTTTGCCTGCAGGAAAAAAAAAACACCCTGCAAATCCTTTTCATTTCATTCAACTAGAAACCAACATTAGCACTATATTTCCTCCACAGGCGACTGGTAGGAGGGGCACGTGACCCCCCTGAGATTGACCCCTGACTTGGCACCACTCAGGACAGGGCAGTTTTTTTGCCGCGTGGGCCGACAGCGTGTTGTGGGGGAGCACTAAGCCATGGCACAGAAGTATACGAGTGGCTATGGACCTTTTGGTCCAGCCATGGGCCTGCCCACAAATTGTGCCCCCCCAGACTCAGGAGGCACCAGTCACCCCTGATTTCCACAGCAAGAGTAACCTTTGGTCCTCCAATTCCAGAATCAGCTTGATGCTCTGACCCTCCCATAGGAGAGTGCAGCTTGTTCTGCCTGAACGTGATCTGCTGCTTTTTATAATTTTTCATTAGTCTCAGACTCCCAATTTGTTCTCTTTTGCCGCCTTCAGCTAAGGTGAAGGGAGAGATGCTGAGCCAGGGGGACGGGAGCTGGACTGTTTGTGAACTTTACTTTCTGGCCCCACAAACCAGAGATCAAGTTCAGTTTCAGGGGCTGCTTCATTGACTTGTAGCACTGCAGGAAAAAAAATGCTCTTTTAGGATCTTTGTAATTCCTTTCATTTTTTAGAAATGCATAATTTACTGTTGGGGTGTTTCTCAGCAAGACCCTGTCCTGGAATTTCACTTCAGGACAGAGCCTTATGAGTCCAGATATATGTCCAAGTGGAAGCATTCTTCTACCAAAACAGTCGCAGTAGCTGTTATGGTAGCTCCTAGAAACTCCAGTCATTGTTGGGCAGGACCCTAATGTGCTAGGTGCTGTGCAAACATTAGGGCAGGGACTGTTTTTATGCTCAGACTTCTCTAAGACAAGCAGTGGGCAGATACAAATACACAGATTTAGCCAGGTATAGCTCCCAACTTCCATTGCAGTTGATGAACTGGAAAGAGCGCATTGGGTTCCCCCCCCCAGGAATGGCCTCTGAGTTCACTGCTTTGTTCAGTGTTGAGTTATTGGTGGATCCTCATGATAAAGAGCTCAAATTTCAAATCTTTCATTAAAAATAATTATCATCTTAAATGTTAAAGCCATAGGTGTTATTGTCTCACTTCTCTCATTTCATGTATATTGCTGCAAAAATGTCCTGGCACTGACAAAGAAGCATGAGACTGTCTTGTGCACATGAAGGAAAGACCTGGGAGGGTGCCCTGTCCCCAAAGGCATTCTGCCCTTCTCTAGCCATGTCTAAGTCCCCCCAGAATTGCTAGTTGAGACTCTTGAAATATGGCTGAAGAGTCAGTGAGTGCATCTGGAGGCAGCTCGCATGCTCCTAGGGGTTGGCTGGGGGCAAGGACAGGCTGAGAAGGACATTTTTGTGGGAGTCTATTGCTAAAACGCTGGCAGCACACCTCTGTGTGAGAGGGCCTGAATTTGGCAAGCCTTAGCACCAGTACTCCGGATGACCTCAATTGGGACTAAAGGCATAGATGGCTCGTCTTGTCAGACCATTTTGTCATGTGAAACCCCCTAGTCCTGGTTGATAGTGTTTTTGTTTCTGGTCTTCTGTTCTGTTTTGCTCTGTCCTCTCTGTCTGTCACTCATTGTCCAGACTGATTCACGCCATCGCATTTTGATGAGTTCTGTTAACTAGTTAGACCATAAGCTCTTTGGCGCAGAAACCGCCTCCCCCCATGTTCCCTTCTGTGTTTTGCTCACTCTTGGCCTTCCATGAATAATAACTGTAACTGTCTGTCTGCTGTTGGCTGCATCCTCTGTCCTCTGCATGCAAGTCTGGTGCCTGCACTTCTTTATCTCCCCTCCTTCTGTCTCCTCCACATTCATCTTGCTGTTTGTTGTCTTCACATTTTCTTGTGGCCCCTTTAAATGTTTGCTGATAGCGCAGTCAGTTGCAATATTCTCTGTAATATCTCACTTTTCTCCCACCGTTTCCTCCCTTCTACCTGTCCTGTTCTGTTCCTTCCCAGGAAAATTCCCTGACATTTTATTTTCATTCTCTTCAGAGCATGCTATTTTCCTTCCCCTTTGGGTTGATTTTCACTCTCTTGCACTTCTTGTTCCCTTCTTTCTTCACAGCTCCCTCCACTGTGCCCATCATGCACCAGGTAAGTGCCACCATGAGGAGCATCACGTTGTCGTGGCCTCAGCCGGAGCAGCCCAACGGCATCATCCTGGACTATGAGATCCGTTACTATGAGAAGGTGAGCCGGATCTGCACCCCCGAGATTAGCAGCACTGTGGGCTCAAGACCAGCCACCGTAAGCTTGAATGACAGCATGGGAAAGATGGGGACGGGGCGGGAACATGCAGGGCTCTGACCCACCTCTGCTTTTTTTTCTTGTTCAGCATGGGCAGGATCCAGGGGGCATTGAAATCAGTGGAAAGGCTTTCATTGTGTATGCTAACATGAAGCCCTGGAGAGTACATTGGGTGTTGGGTGGGAATTAGTGAAATAGGTAGGATGGGGCATAAATGATTTTTGATGCAATTAGGGTGAATGATGGATTTAGGAGATGAATGAATGCCAGGTCCCCCCGCGTGCTTGAACGTGGTCATGAATGCTAATACAAACAGGCCACAGGCGTTTAAGACAAAAATGCATGTTCTAGGCCTCGGCTTACCCTAAGCTGAGTGGTCCCAATGCTGCAATAGGACCCCACACTCTGGTCTACACAAAGCGATAGAGAGCTGCATGGAGCAGCAGTTGTAATAGAGAGCTGCTTAAGAATTTGCATGGCCTGTGCTTTTATGTGTACTTGATACAGTTTGGCATCTGTTGCAGGTTTGTGCTGCTTAGGTTTCCTCCAACATAAAGTCCTTGTCCCTGGGTTGTGTCCTGCCAAGCCCTTGCTGTCCCAGCCTGTCCCCTACTGCTGTCCTGGAGGGAGCTGCACATCTCAAGCCCTCTGGACCCACAGGCCACTATCAAACCTCAACATTTCTCAGACAACTGTGTGTCCTTAGCCCGACAGACAGCCTGAACCTAATTTCTCCCCAGGTGACAGGCTAGCACTCACAGCACCAGCAAATGTCTTAGCAGTTGGTGGTATGGCAGTGTTTCATGCCCTCTACTGTTATCAGGGTCCTGTTGTGCCAGGCACTGTATTTCCACGTGCTCAGAGGCAATGACTTTGCAACCTCCATAGAAAGGGCAGATGGGATGGGAGACTACAAGGTGACTGCTCACTTGGGGTCCTGTTTTCCTTAATCACTTCTGCAGAAAGGCTCTTCCGATCTCTCAGAGCTGGAGGCAGTCATGGCACTTTGCCCACAGGCTGTCACTTCAGGAACATGCCATTGTCCCTTGAGAAGAAATATAGTACGGCTGAGCTTTACAAAGGTGCCCAGCCTCTTCTGATTTCAATTGATTTCTTCTTTTGGTTGTGATTCATTAATGATATAAAATAGCCCTGCAAGCAGCATCGCCTGTTCACAGCGAATCTCTCAGGTGTGTTCTAGGTGATATTTTCACAGATCTTCATTGTAACAACCTTTTTTACCCATGCAGTAGCAGCCACAGCAGCACTTAGGCACTCAGTAAATGCTTTGAACTCAGCAAAGTGCTTGCCATGGATGTCTGATTGGACAGGTTATCGCCTTTCCTTATGAGCTTGGTTTCCTGAGTTGTGCATTAGTGTAAATGGCTCCAGAGCAAGGAATTCTACCTCAGGGCTGGACCATTAGACCTCAGATGCATTTTTTCACCCCGACGTTGAATGTTCTTTTATTGCATTTCCTCCTATTGTTCTTATTCCCCACTGAGGCTGGCCTCCACAGTTCCACCCCTGCCTGGCTATTTGCACCATGCAAACCATACTGATGTACAGTGGTCAAAAATCCCTTCCAGGGTCGTTTGACCCATCTATGCAACAGATGGATAAAACTGAGAAGTGCATGCCCCATGCAAAAAGCTCCCAGTCTCTGTAGTGAACTCAACCAGAGATCCCCATTCCTCCTTTGCTCTGGGTGATCTCCCCAGCTTTCCTTTTTGCCCCTTCCAACCGCGTATCTTTTAAGGAGATTCCTCTGGACATCTTGCCACTCAACACCCCCTTGGATAGCTCAGCTTCCGGAGATGGATGCTGCAGGCCCCTATCTTTCACTTTCCCTTCCAGTAGCAAGGTAAGGGAGGCAGGAACTCAGCTCATTGATGGCACTACATGGAAATGCTCTTTGGCTTGGGGCAGTGCATTAAAGCCCAGCAGAGAAGCAGCCTGAGGTTCCGCCTGCTAGAAGCAAACCAGTGACACAGTCAAGTCATGGCAACGTGGAGGAGGGGCAGACAGAGGCTTATAGGGGCAGAAGGGAGCTCAGCAAGGCTGCATTGGAGACTTGCAGTGATTATTTTAGAAACAAAGGGTGGGGGGCTAGCTGTATGGAGAGCTTCTCCATAGAAAAATTAAGGGTTGAAGGGATGAAGCCTGAGGTCAAGTCTGATCAAACCATATCCCCCATTCCCAAGTTGCATCATCTGTAAGAGTCAGGTGGCCTTTCCACTGTGGTTGCTGTTTTCAATCCTCTTGAATTTGTCACCAGCATTAGAGGTAGTGAAGCAGGTGCATTCCTCATGTCATCTCAACATTACTCCGACTTAGCAGCTGAGAACACTGGGACCCCACCCCCAGCCACCCTGGGTATCCCCCAGTCCCAGTGCCTGTGGATAAAAATGAGGAAAGCCAATAGAGAGGGCATTTAGTATCAGCATTGAGACGCAATGAGCAGTAAAGGGCAGAGTGTAAGCAGAGGTGGGTGTCATCTCATATAGATCTGCCACCACTAGCTGAGACGGCTTGTGCATGCACTGTCCTTCCTGAAGCAGCTCTGACCCTTTGGACCCATCACTTCGGCCTGCAATGAGTTTTGCCACAGCACTGTTTATATTGACTAAGTGCCTGCTGCATTTAGGATCATGCAATCCAATGCATGTTCCTTCAGGGCTCTCCCTTGCTTCTGGGAGATCAGGGACAGAGCTCTCTAGCTCCAGGAATCTCATTCCTTCAATGCATCAGTCTTACCCTGTGGAAATGCCTCCCTGACTGCTGTCCTGTGCAACCTCTGGGTCACCACTGTTGCATTCATAGGCTGCCTGCTTGGGGAGCTCACTATGGAGACTTGCTATCTTGCCTCCCCCATCCCCTTTGATTGACATCATTGTGTTGTTTTTTTTTTTTTAATCTTCCCCAAAGGACCACAATGAGTACAACTCATCCATGGCCCGGAGTCAAACCAATACGGCCAGGATCGATGGGCTGAGGCCTGGGATGGTGTACGTGGTCCAGGTGCGAGCCCGGACTGTGGCTGGCTATGGGAAATACAGTGGGAAAATGTGCTTCCAGACACTGACGGATGGTAAGTGAGTAGCAGTAGCACCTCAGGAGCAAGACAGAGAGATAGGGGGAAAAAGAGAAAGAAAAAAAAATGGGAGAGAGAGTGCACAATTGCATTTAGAGCTAAAGCTCTGAGCTGTAATTGGATTAAATGAACTTGTCTCTCCAAACCACATCTCCCAGCGGGGCAGCGTGGCAAGAGCCAGGTGATTTACAGGGATGTTTGATTAATCGCCAGCTGGAGGAGTAATCTGTTTTAAATCTCTTATCTCTGTTTTCTCCCCCACCATTTAGCTGCATTTTTGCCTCTCCCACAGCCCTGCCTGGCTTTGCTCCTCAGCCTGTCAGTGAGGGAGGAGGGGGTGGGTCCAAAAAGGGTCATTAACCCTTTCCTGGCCCCACATCTCCCAGTTCCAGGAGAGACGCTAAGAGGCAGCTCTGGGTGATTGGGGAAGTTTGTCAAGCTAAAGTGCTGATGCTGTGATCGGAGCATGCACAGAGAAGTTCTGTGATGGTTTGCCTGCCACTGGGTTACGTATCCGTAGGAATGGGAGGGCCGGCAGCAAGAAGTCTGATGGCAGTGCAGAGAAGGAAGAAATCAGGCCCGAGAGCGTTGGTGGGGTTGGGGTGGCAGGGGAAGCAGATTGGGACAAGGGGCGGAAAGGGAGAGAGAAGCTGGGAAGAGTTGCTGAAGGAGAGGAGGGTTGAGACTTGGGTGGAGACAGAGGCAGCCGGGTCTGTAACCATGACTGAACCCAGCAATACAGGTTGCGCTCTCGGGCGGGGAGATCCTGGAACAGCTTCCAGTAGGGGCACAAAGCCTCAGGGGCTTTAAGATGGAGGGTGATCTTTTTATGAAAAGGATTTTCTGACATGGCTGCCTGAGATAGCTGGGGACAAGTGTCAATGACCCAGGAGGAACCTGTGTTCCTAGCTGTTAGGTCAGCTTGTCTTGTCTGTCTCCTGGCCATTGCAGCATTGCTGTCTCCACCCTCCTCTCCGTGTGCAGACCGGCTTTAACCACTCCCTCAGTGGAGCTTCCAGTATTTCCTTTGAAGGTCTTTGTTTCACTGTCTAACAGTCTCATCCATCCCACTTCTTCTGCTGGTCTTCCTTTGTCTGGTCCACTTTGCTTTTGGCACTGACACCCTCCAGATCCATAGAGATAGTGCTGACTCCTCCACCCCCTGCTCCTTAGCTCTCATTTCACCAAGCTTACCGCATTCGGCTCTTTGAATCTCATATAAATCAATCCTTCCATCCCTTTAATCAGTTTTATTGCACTTCTCTGAATAACATCAATAAAAGATGCAGAGACCAGAATAGAAAAGAGAGTTTTAAAAGGAGCTAGCCTTTCCATATCTGCTCCCTCCTACTCTGTATAATGATCTGTTAGTTATAGATTTGGTAGGCCATGATTAGAAATGAACAAACCGCTTCAGATCAACAAAAGAAGTGACAAGAAACTTTCCTCAGGCCCTGGAGCCTTTTTCAATCTATTCCAAAGCTCTTCAGGGCATATGGGTCTGAAATCCACTATTGAATGCAGCTGTTTGACTTCCTAGCTCTAGTGCAGTACATTGTACAGAAAGGCCTAATTTGCAAAGTTCCCTCCTTAGTCTCCTTACTCTGCAAAGTTTCCCAATGGCTATGGATGTTTGGGTCTATTCTTTTTGTTTCAGTCCATCACAGTTTTTCAGCATCAATCCCCTCCCCCGTCCAAATTATAATATACTTAATTGTTAAGAGAATAGCCTTTGGGAATTACTTCTCTTTGTCAAATGGGGCTCTCCCTGTTCCTAAGCAGAAGGGCTGGAATTGATGAAGAAAGCCTTCTCTTGTGCTATTTCTGTCCTGCCCAGAAACGGTAGGTGCCAGAAATCACACCAGGCAGCCTCTCCTTCACTTTTCCCAGCCCAGTCAGACCTCTGAGCAAGTAATAGTTAGGTCTCAGTCCTGCAAAATACCGAGAACCCTTCTTCCAATCCAGTAAAGTATTTCAGCACGGGTTGCCCCACTGAAATCAATGGCGCTACACTGATTTTCATCAGCTCAAGATCTGACTCGCAGTGTCTGTTATCACCCCGATCTATAGACTTGCAGGCCTACACACCATGGTTGCTACTTACCTATATTGTTCCAGTGAAACTATGTGATCAGTAGTCTGACACGTATATATGTGAAGCTTTCACCTATAAACACTTATAGTCAGTTGTTGTTCTCTCCTTTGGCTCTGTCTGGGATTTTCAAAGGAGCCTAAAGGAGTTGGTACCTCAGTGATATCTATTGGCAACCGGGTACATAAATTTTCCAGTCACCCATTGCTTTTGATTTATATTGTGGAAGTGGGTAGAGAATCCTGTCGGGGTCCTATTGTCTCAGGTGCTGTAAAGAGATGTATTGAAAGAAACTGCTTTAGCTCCACAAAACAGAAGCCACTGTAAAAAAATAGCCCTGCCATTGTTGCTTGGGAAAGACAAAGCCAACAAATTATGTGACCCTTGTGTCAAAACTGTTAATTCTGTATTTGGATTGCTATAGCAAGTCAAAGCTTTGTACAGCTTTGGTGCCACATTTAAATAGATTCAAATGCCTGGTAGGAAACTGTCATAGAATCATAGAAAATGAGGGCTGGAAGGGACCTCAGGAGGTCACATCTAGTCCAACCCCTGCTCAGAGCAGGACCATCCCGGACTAGATCATCCCAGCCAAGGCTTTGTCTTGCTGAGTCTAAAAACCTCCAAGGATGGAGAATCCATCACCTCTCTGGGTAACTGTCCCTGCCACAAAGAGTGTTTATGAGAGACAAAGTGGAATCCACTCACACATGAATGAGTTGACTGGTCTGAGTCAGACAGTGGGGCTGTGGGAGAACTGGGAATTAAACCCAAATCTCAGGCAAGCGTGTCAGCCACAGAACCGCCCCCCCTTCTCCAACAGGCTTTTCATTCTTCCTGCTCTAACTGAAGTTGCCAGCCTTCTGCTACCTCCTTTGGTGTATACTTGTGTCAGGCAAACATCTAACAGAATATGGAAAAAGCAGAATACACAGAATGACTGAAAGGAAAGAAACGAGAGATAAAAGAATGTTTTGACTATTCAGGATTAGTGAAGCCAGGAGAAGATTGTGCCTCAGCTAAGCGATTAATTGAAATGTAATCAGAATGGATATTTTAGATTATTAAATAATAATTGATTGCTAGATGAGAATGTCTCCCGATTGAAGTAGCAGACAAGAGATAATTCTGCTTACTAGTAATTAGCTGCAGAAAAGATAAAAGGGTGCTAAACACTTCCTTTTGAATGGATTTAATTTTAACTCCTTGGAGACTGCTGTTGTCACAGGATGACAAGACCTGCTAGGGAGTCTCTCTTGGAAAACAAGGACTGCTGGTGATAGTTGTGTAGCATCCAGAGGCCCCCACCAAGATTGGGGCTGTATTTTGTGCTGGGCCCTGCATGCATATAAAGACACAGTCCTTGCTGCAGTGAGCAGACAAAGGATGAGAGGGGAAGCAGAGGCCCAGGGATTGGAAGTGGCTTGCTGAGGGTACCAGAAACTTAGAACCCAAGTGTCCTGAGCCATTATGCAGTTCTCCATTGGCAGCAGGGGTCAGCAGAGTCCAGACCAGGACGCAGGAGTCCAGATCCAGGGCTCCATCCACTATACCAGTCAGTCTTACACTTAGGCCCATTTGCATCTTAAGCGTAAAGAAGTTTTACATGAAGTGTAAATGCAGGGGAAAGAGGCCTTAATGAAAATGAGAATCAGATGCTCACACTGAGCTCCTTCACAAGGCTCTGGATTGTGACATGTTCTTTCCATATGCCCCGTCCTGGTTTTAATTCTTCCACTGCTGCAAAGTCAGCGAGTGCATTTTGATCCCAGATTTTTTTTCCCCTGCGGAAGGGTCCATTCAAACGCTCTGAGCCCCTCAGCAGACAGTACATTTTTAGGAGCATACTTGAGTGTGGCCAGGGAAATTAGCTTCTTCATTGCAGCTGAATATATCATCTACTTCTGTGTTCCATGGATTTCAATAGCTGTTTCTGGGAGGACTCTTCTTGTAAGCTCTTGAGTCTGCTTGATAGATACTTGGTAGATTACTTCCTATAAGGACATTTTCTGCTCGTTCCTAGCATGCTGATGTCCTCAGGATGATCTGGAGCAAGGACAGGGAACAGGCATCTAAACTCTCTGAGCTTCATGATTTCGGATCATAGTTGCTGGGTAAAAGAAGGATGATGGTGAGATGCCAAAAGAGCCTAAAAGGAGTTAGTCCTCCAACCTAATTGCAGCTAGACACTCCCTCTTGCCATAGTGTCTCACTCCCAGACTTCTTCCAGCTCCTCTGAAGCCCATTGTCAACTCCCTCTTGGCAGCAAGTGCAGAAGAAGGGATGACAGTTGTCCTCATCCCATCTCCCCTTCTCCAGGGACCTCAGGATCGAGTATCATGAGATGCCAGAGGGCTGTTCTGTATCCTGGCAGTGTATAGTGTGGCAGAGCAGCTATCTCAGCAGCTCACAGAACTCACCTGCAGGGAAGGAGCAGCCTTCAGATTTTGGCAAGATTAAAAAATATGCAGTTTCTCCTTACCTGTGGAACTTGTTTCACCTCTTTTTAAATCCAAAGCACATGTGATTCAGGCCTGGCGATCCACGTAGGAACTAGGTAAGCCCAATGCTGTATCATCCTCACCTATGGTTTGCAAACACAGGCATTGTTCCCAGCCCACAAGTGTTTCTCTTCAAATTGCATACATCTTTCACCTTTAACTAAAGATTTCCCTGCACAGTTAGGAGTCTTGAACCATTTTTTGTCTCGATCAGAAGAAAGGAAGGGTAGTGGGTCTGACTTACTCCGTAGGTAGTCCTGTTGAAGCCAGCTTGTACACTAAGGGACTTCTGAGGAAGAGAGTGACAGAATAGTCCCCAAGAAATCCACTCTTAGTTCATCAGGGCTGATATAGGCAGAGGAGAACTTATACAGCCTTTTCCCCTTACAGATGACTACAAGTCCGAGCTGAGAGAGCAATTGCCTCTCATTGCGGGGTCTGCAGCAGCTGGTGTGGTCTTCATTGTCTCCCTGGTGGCTATTTCAATCGTCTGCAGCAGGTAAGCATGATTTTTACACTCTGGGTTTTGTTTCTTTTTTGAGGGGGATGGGGAGGGAGAGGATTTTCACTGCAGTAGTGTTTCCATGGAGGGGCCATTGGCTCTTGGGCCCCCTCTGACCAACCAACAGAAGCAGTGGGGTGAGGCTGTTCACAGAAGGAATTATTCACTGCTCTGCTTGGTCTAATGTGAAGTCCCGGACAGACATGATAGGAGCTATGCCAAGGTTCAGAGATGATAGGGAATGCAATCAAAGAATCCCTTACAAGGCACTGTTGGGGAGAAATGAGGAATCCTTGTGATACTAAAGGGTAAGAACATGTGAGGCTGCAGCCTTCCATTAAGCATTGTCTACAGCTGAGTGAGCTGTAGACACCTAGCAAACAGCAGTTTACAAATGACCATGAAGCTTGCACTCAAGATTCCCAAGGCAGAACTGCTGCAGTCAGAGACGAGACCATGCATTTCTCAGCATGTGATAAATATTTCAGTGAGTTTTTATGAAAACACAATGAGAAGTGAGACATGAAACAAGAAGGGGAAGTGTGTTGCATTCAAGTGAATACAAACCACAGAGATAGTGTCAGATTTGTAGGAGGCTAATCAGGGAATTCACTTGAACAATGGGATTTCAACATGGACAGAGTGCTATTGCTTCCTGTCTCTTTCTTCCTCCCTTAGAAGAGGAGAAAGCCAAAATGTGGGTGCCGATTCCAAGGCTCCAGTCTATTCTGTGTCCTTGTCCTTAGGGACACTGACCATTTTGTGTCTCCTACTTTCAGATAGATGTGGGTAGATAGCAACAGGGGGAGGGGGATGTGTGCATGCATGTGTGTATCTCTATATATGCAGATGTATGATCACAACACCGAGGTGTGTGCACATTTTGGCGTGGGTATGTAACAATCATTTTTCCACACAACTGCAGGTAAACCCATTGACTCAGACTCTTTGTGGATGCTTTGAGTGGTCTAGATTATAATGCACCACTTATTCATTACTCAAGCAAGGCTTTTTCCTTCCCCCCCCACTTTTTCCCCAGGAAGCGTGCTTACAGCAAAGAGGCAGTGTACAGTGATAAATTACAGCACTACAGCACTGGCCGAGGTGAGTGGAGAGAAAAATGCACAGTCGGGAGGGGTGAAGGAAGGAAGTTGTAACATATTCATGGGTGTGTATATTTGACGTGCCAATAATATTTATAGAGGGCTGGAAATATCCCTGTGGCTTTAAAAAAACACAGAGAAAAATAAGCTTTCTGCTGTACTCTCACTCAAGTGAAGAGGATGCTTAGTACAACAGCAAAAAAATCCATGCTTATAAGCTCAGAACAGAGCAGCAGTTTTGTGGGCTTCAGGGAGGAGGAAGGTGTTTGCTGCATAGCAAGAGGAAGGCAATTGCAAAGGTAAAGTGTGGTGTTAGAACGGGATGAGGAGAGAAAACAAGGGGATTTCCAGAGGGAGAAGATGTGGGGCAGAAGCATTGCAAGCACTAGGAGCAAAGAGAAAGGAGTTAGAGCTTTAGGGTTTGAGGGAGCTAATGAAGGAGTGTGAGGAGTATGTTTATGACCAGCACAATGGGAGAGGAAGCTGGGATAAGCAGGAAAGTCTGTGCTAGATGAGAATAAACTACAGATAGGATCATGGGAACACTGTAAGGAGCTGCCTGGACCATTGCTCTCCATCCCTTGGGCTCACAGGCAAACATTTCTCTGAAAAGGTCCAGGGCTAGGGACAGACAGTCAAAAAGCCTGAGCCTGAATTGATTCAGTCTTTTCAGGTTAGTCTAATGTGGATAAGCCAAATCACTTTGTAACTGGACAGACATCAAAGACATGCAGGCACATGCCTGCAGTGACTCAGGCTCGAAGCCGGGAGGCGCTAGAGCAGCCCTCTCTTCCTTTCCACCATACTGAGCTGAGGGAGGGGGGTATGGCCAGGCTCTGGCAGGACAGTCTGATTAGAGAGGGGTTCCCCCCCTTCTGAGCAGCCCAGCAAGGAATTGGCAACAGTTTTTATCACCCATAACTTAGTGTTTATCACCTCATTAAGAAAACAATAGAGGAACATTGCCAGCTACCTGTTGATTCTCCCTTTGTCCCCTCTGCCACAGCATGGACCTGGACTGTAGCCAGCATGTGGTCTGCTAACTAATGCCGAGAGGTGTCTGTAACGCAGACAGGACAGGGAGGGAAGGGTGGGGAGCAGGGATGCCTGCAGTCTGTGCTGAGCTCTAGCCAGGGAGCAGAGGGGAGAGGCCAGCCCTGCTGCAGAGCAGAGAGCCCTGCTTCACCCAGAAAGCATGCTGGGATGCTGGGGGTGTCTGATTTAACTTAAACCAGCATGGGCTCTGGGACAGACTTTGCATAAACCGGTTTGACCCAAATCAGTAAAGTCTGATACTACATTCAAACAGGTTTATCTCAAACCAGTTTCAGCCATTTTCAAACTGGTTTATGTGCACTGAACATCTGTTCTGTTACAGGTTTAAACCAGTTTCTGATCACTTAAACTGGCTTATGTGTAATGTCTGTCCCTAGCCCAGAAGAACATCCACTGTGACCCTCCTTACATGCTACAGATACAAAGCACTTCTGGGGTGGGTGGGAGGACCCTCTCCTGTTTACCTCAGGTAAAGAGAAAAGCAGATAGGGGTGCCGAAAGTGCCGTGCCACTGCAGGGACAGGAAATAACTTAGTCTAAACTATGCCAGATGATTGTAGGAAGAGGTTCATGTCCCTGTTTATGGAGGAAGCAAAAAATCCCATCGCCCCTACCAGCCTGACTGGAGGAGAAATGCTTTCTTGACCCCAAATCTGGTGATTGCATTGAGCCTGAGTAGAACAGTAAGGCCTGTTAGCCAGGCCCCATGCAGGTACCCAAGAGATTTCCAGGATAATCCAGACAAGCCCTGAATAGACCAAGGCACAAATCAGCATTTCCAGCAGATGGGCTAGAAAGGAAGGCACAGTTCTCAGAGATGGGGTAGGGAGAGAAATGGTCATCCAGAGATGCTCAGCAAAGTATACAGGAGTGAGGGAGAGCAGCCAAGAAGAAACCCTGAGCTTAGAAGCACTGGAGCAAATCATGACCTTTTCTAATGGGGACTCTTGGCTGCATCTTTACATGAAAATGTAAATAGTTTGCAGGACTTATTCTGGGCACTGACTAGTAAATATTTGCTGGAACTTAAAAAAAACCTTTTGGATCCTCTATAATCTTTCATGCTGCCTTTCCATTGCCTGTTCTTCTGGCTGTCAGCTTTACAACCCTCTCCCTTAATCTTAGGCTCAGTAACAGACTGGATCTTATACTTTGCGTTGGTCAAAGAGGGAATATGTGGCGAATGAATGCAAAGACTTACTGGCTTTAGGTTACTGATTTGATTGGAAAACAACTGTAAGAACCTACATATGAAGTCAATTTAGAAGGAAGTCTTATTTATCATAGGAGGGTTGGCTTTTTAGAACTGATATCCCTTTGAAATCTATAGATCCACGAACCAGAATAAAATCCAGGCATTAGGACATCCAGGAAATAGTGCCAACTCAAACTCTGCAAGCTCTGAACTTGATAAAATAGCAAACAGGTCTTTGTTATCTGTATCGGGGAAAGATAATAAGCTAGTAAAGCAACAACCTCAACCAGTAATTGCTACTCACACCTACACCAGACATTTTCGGCTTTCTCTGCTCAGAGAACCAGCTGCAAACAGTTACACTCTACTGTTCCCAGGTGTTTCAAGGAATAGCTCTAGCACAAATGCTCACTTCTCTTTAGGGCTCTTCAGATTACAAGCAGCAGCAAAACCTCTGTTGAGTAGGGCAGAACAGGAAAGCAGCAGAGTAGGAAATGAGATACAAAATTGGGATCAACTCAAATCCAATTTACACTCTAAAGAAAAATCTCCTGGAGGCATGCACTCTCCCTAAAAAGGACCCACGGTGTAGAACAAATGGGATGAATAATAATGTTAATGAATAGAGTGTGTTGTTTGAAATATGGTGTGTAGGCATGTAATTAGACTGGAGGGATGCAGAGGTATAGGGGCAGAGTTAAGGTTGCCCATTCAACCTTTACGTACTTCTGCATTTCCTGACTTTGAGTGATCTTCGCTGCAGCCTTGATGTTCTGTTCATGTCTTTTGCTGGAGCATTTCCTAAGGTTTTTATTGTATTTAAAGAGAAAACAATAAATAAAAATACAGTCACTATCAGAGTGTGATTAAGGAAAGGGAGAAGAGCTACCGTTTTAAAAGCAAGTTGCTAAAGAGTCGTAGTTTCATAGTTTCATAGTTCATAGTTGGTAGGGTTGGAAGGGACCTGAGCAGATCATCTAGTCTGACCCCCTGCCATGGGCAGGAAAGAGTACTGGGGTCAAACGACCCCGGCTAGGTGATTATCTAGCCTCCTTTTGAAGACCCCCAGGGTAGAGGCAAGCACCACTTCCCTTGGAAGTTGGTTCCAGCTCCTAGCCACTCTGACCAGTGAAGTAGTGCCTCCTGATATCTAGCCTGAATCTACTCTCAGTCACTAGGTTGTGAACACATACCCTGTCTTCAAGCCTACCTCCAGCTGATGCCCTGCTGAGGACTGTCCATGAGCAAAAGGTCCATGATCATACAGCTCTCCGGCTCACTTACTCTGCTTGGGAAAGGTTCAGTCACATCCACAGTGACTGATGGCATATTGCCATGCGTCCAGAAATTTCCAGCCCTGTAAACCTTCAAGCTATCTTGGATTCTTAATCACACTGGGCGCGTTTACATGTGCAATTAATACGAAGCTTATTGCACTGGAATTTATTGCTCCCACGCATGCTGTTTGAATGTGTGCCTGGAGCACGTTGAGCCAACTCGGAGCAGCCCCAGCTGGCAGAGGGTCCCCAGAGGGTAAGCTTGCCAACCCGGGGCTGCTCCTGCCTGGCACAACGTGCTGTGAGGGGCTGGCTTGGGCACGACGGTGCTTCAATGCAGGGGTAGCCAGCCAGCAGCCCCCACACTGAAGCATCCTCGTGCTGCAGCTAGCTGGGTCAGTATCTCCAGTTCTGAGAGTACTGGTCCAGTAATGTTACAACAGTGGGGTTTGATTTTTTTTCATAACCGTGTACGGCATGTAAGCATTTAGACCTGTTAAAAGTGGGCATAATATGCTGCCATTTTTTTAGCATCATCTAAAATGCAGGTGGCTTCTTGAGAGCAACAGGACTTCCCAGAGGAAGTAGCCTCACACTCCTTCTTCCCAACATCGGTCAAACCTCCTGTCTTAGTCCTGCCTAAATATTGTCATGTAACATATGCCCACGTTATGCACCAGAGCAATACAGAGTTAAAAGAAATGCTGCGGTGTTAGAAAGACAGAGAGGAAAGGGGAGTGGTTTTACCTGAAAGATGCAGCTTGTTAGGCAGACAGGCTCAAATCATGAACAGTATTAGGGCTTTTTGGTCTTTACTCGTATGAGGAGGGCAACAGACCATAGCAATACTTGCGCAAGAAATAGTGGCAAAGGCAAGCTGTTGGTCTGTGGTGTCTATGGAAGAGTTTGACTGTCGTAGCTGAGGAATTCTCATGCTGTTAATTTGGAGTTCATGTGCATAAATCCCTGCAGTTACATTAAACTGTGTCCTGAAGTTAGCTGGCTGTGTTGTGGCTTTTATTATAAGCATGAATCATGTTTAGTACACCAGTGCCGAGGGGCCTACCCCATTGCACTGCACATTGTACAAACACAGAAGACCAGACAGTCTGGTAAGTCCCATGATTTTTTGAGGTAGGAAACAGTGGGTCTAGACACACAGGAAGACAAGGGAAGGGGTTGAGGAGGACAGAGCTGGTGAGAAGAGGGAGGGGAGAAAGCCATAGGGACTGGTGTGGCATGAAGTTGAGTGAAGGGTATGTGAAAGAAGAGGGGGCAGGAGGTGGAGCAAAATGCCAGTCAGTGCAGAGCAGGGAAATATTGTAGAAATATTGATAGATTTATATCGACCTTCTCAGCGCTGCACCGAAAACCCTTGAATATGATCCTCCTAGCCCCGTGAACAGCAAATCTTTAAGCAAATGTTTTATTGCTTCCCAAATATCCCTGGACTTTGCTTAAACACGATGGGTC